GGAGGTGGGGAGCAGCCAGTGCAAAGGCCCTGAAGCAAGTGTGTTCATGAAACAAGCTGGTGGGTGTAGCTGGAACACAGGAGCAAGGGGCAGGAGGGGTTGAGGTCAGATGGGCCAACTTGCCAATTGTATAGACCACTGTTTGGATTTGGCTTCTGATGAAATGGGGAGTTCTTTTGAGTTCTTTGAGCCCGAGGAGGGCATGATCAGACATTGGCTTTCTAGTCTCTGGCTCGGCTGGTGGAGATGACAGGGGAAATGGCCAGAGCAGGAATCCTCGCCAGTGGCTGGAGGGTGCTTGGGATGGAAGTCAAACTCTTCCTGTACAGGTGCTGGGGAGACAGGGCGTGGCTCTGATGATAAGTGCTCCTGCCCCCAGTCCATTTCACTGTCTTATAGATGAAGAAACTGAACAGAGGTAGCAATTTGCCTCAGGGGACCCGGTCTTTAAGGCAAAGCTGGAATGGATTGCAACCATCCAGGCTCCATAGCTCCGTGTGGGAGGAGCTCGGGGCTGGCTCAGCCTCCTGGACAGAGGTGGTCTGGGCACGGGGCTCAGGGCTCAGCTGCAGCCAGCTGGCCGGCCGGAAAAGAACCATTCTTGCCCCAGGGTGCATGTAATTTATTAAAGAGCTTTGACAGTCACAAGTTCCAGCAAGCCCGGGGTGGTGGCTGCAGGGTGGCCTGTTTGCCCTACAGGCACGGTTACTGAGCGTGCCTGGCCATCTGCAGAAGGGCTTTCCCCGTATGACGCATTCCTTTCTGGCCCCGTCTCGCCACTGGAGTCGCAGACCCCGGGCTGGGCAAAGGGAGCTTCTGAGGAAGTAGGACCGTCCCTCACAGCTCAGCCCTCCGATCGCCCTGGCCAAGTTTCTACCAGTTCTTTCCGGAAGGAAGGTTCCTTGCGGATCGTGCTAAGAGCAGTTTCCCAGCTACACAGACGGGGGTCCGCTCGGGATTGAAGCCCGTGCGTGTGCGGTTGTCCAAGGAGCGAGGATGGTCGCGCTCCCGTCCACCTCTGAACAGCCCAGACGGGTTTTAAAGGGAGGACTTCGGCTCAGACAGGAAATCCTGCATCTGCCAGGGAGAGCTGGCCTGTCGGTGCCCGGCCCTGCTCGCCGACCGGGGCCCTCACAGGACGCAGCAGGTGCGGGAGCCGGGTCCTTGCTGCTTCAGCTGCTGCCGGAGCTGCTCCTTCTCCGCCGTCAGCACCTTCACCCTCTCCTGCAGCGTGCGCAACTCCGCCACCCACTTCTGCGGTGTGTGTGTGGGGGGTGGGGTCACCCCACAAGCAGAGGCCTGAGGTGGTGCCGCCTCGGGTTTGCCCCCTCCACCCAGGGTTGAACTGACGGAGGAAGGCAAGCCCCGGAGGGCCCGGTGGGGGGGGCCTACTCAAGGCCACTGGGGACCACATAGCCCTCCCTGCTTGGTGGGAGCCGGGTTCCTGGCCATGCCATCACCCCTGACAAATCAACCCTGGGGGCTGAGGGAAGCCGCTTGACCTGAGGGGCCTGCCAGCATCCCAGCGTCCGGGCCCGGCCTCCTCAAGGGTTGGGTAGGAGCCGCCCGGGCATGTCCCTCCCTCTCTCCGCCAGCCCCTTGCTCTCCTCTGCTTTTCTGCCATCTGTTTCCCTCTTGAAAGGCTTTTTCTTAGGACTCTGTCCAGCACTAACTGCCCCCCATTGTAAGGGCCTTCCCCTAAATACAGTATAGTACGGCCCCGTCTTCAGGGTGGTCTTAAAGCTTCTCAAGATCCATCCACCCCCCCGCCCCGGCTCCCCCAGCCCACGGCGGTGGAACATGGGGTGTAGTGGGGTTACTTCAGTGCTCCCCCCACCCCCCCGTGTACCTGCGGGTGATGGAGCACTGAGGGAAACCCGATGGCATGGCCAGGACTGCTGGCCTGCCCCCGCCCCAGCCGCTTACCTGCTTGCACCACTCCTGGATGGCGTGGACAGACAGCGGGCCCTGGATGCTCCCGTCCCGCCGCAAGAACACCTCCCCCTGGTCAGTCTCATAGAGCTGCGGCTCGGCCTGGGCCCTGGGGGCGTGCACCCTCAGGCGGATCACCTTGGTCAGGGCGACAGTGACTCTGGTCGCTAATCCCACCTGGCTGGCTCTTCCGGGCTCCTGGGGCAGCCTGGTGGGCGTGGGGGCAAGGGGGCACTTCTGGCCTCTCCAGTCACTCTGCCCGGCCCCCCTCTGCCCCCACCCTCCACCCCCCAGCCCTGCTCAGCAGAGCCGAATGGGGCCATCACGCGGGGGCCAGACAGACCCAGGGCTCACCTTGAGGGGGGTGGGGGAGGCGATGGTGCTGACCACGGGGATGAAAGAGAGTGTGTAGGCGTCGGGGAAGACCTGGGGCTGGAAACCCTGCAGGATGGAGTCCACCAGCAGGCGCACGCGGTCCTCGTCGCGGTGGCTGCAGGGGACGCCCCGCACCAGGCCGCTGTCCTCGACGCCCACGAACAGGCTGCCGCCCTCGCCGTTGAGGAAGGCGCACGCGTAGCGCCGCAGGTGGTGCTTGAAGGCCAGGCTCAGGTACTCGCCGCCGCCGCGCTTGAACTCCACGCTGCGCGTCTCGCTGCCCAGGAAGGCGCCCTGGAAGAGGCGCTCCTGGCCCGGGACCTCCTGGTGCACGATGGCGCTGTCGGAGCGTGCGCCGCTGGGCCGGTCCTGGGACCTCTGCGGGGCCCGTGCCGGGGGGCCGTTGGCAGGGCTGGGGCTCGGGCTCCGGCTGCTGTTGTCCTCCCGCTGGGGTGAGGGGTGAGAGTAAGGAGCCTCGGGGGACAGGACAAGAGGGACGGGACACACCTCCTTCCGCCTGGGGCCCAGCCCGCTGGGGCATCCTAATGCCCCGTCCCAGGCGGAAGGGCCTAACTGCCCACCGTCCTGCAGCCAGTGCTGGAAACCTGCTGAGTCAAGGGTTTGAGCCGCCCCTGCTCCTTCCTGCTGGGCTATGGTATGCATGGTGAGGACAAGGAGTTCTCCTTCTCAGGTCGGGGGCCAGAACCCCGGAGGCCAATCTCTTCCCACTTAGGTTGTAGACTGGCCTCTGAGGCTCGGGGCCAAGATCATTCCAACAGATAACCCCCTTCTTGTCTCCCTGAAATGCCTGCCTATCGCTTTCTGGACCACTGATCAGTCCTGAATCTCAACCCTCCTCTGGCCCTCCTGAGACCCTTTCCGTGGTTTCTGTTTTGTTCTCGGGCTCTGTGCATGAGCAGACTCATGGCCACCGGCCTCTTCTGGGCCTCATCACGGCCTCCGTGCCTCCCATCCACCCTCCTTGCTGACCCTGGACGCAAGAAGATTCTCACTCCTCCCTTACTGGGTTCTCTGCTGCTGTCCCCGGCTCCTTGCTGCCTCCTAGTCTCCAGCAGGGGCTTCCGGGGCTGGGAGTGCCGTGCGGGCTGGGGCATGGTGGTGAGGGGCGCATCCCTACCAGCCCTGCAGGTCCCAAAGGAAACAGTTTCTCAGAAACACGAGAAACTGCCACACAAACATGAAGTCAGGCTCACAGGTCTTGAAATGTCAGTCACAGAGCTGTTCAGTTCTGCAACCATTTGAACACCACGGAGTTTTCATCCCGAAAGAAAAGGAAAACCAAGATCACCTGTCTCACAGAGTGTCCTGCCACAGCTGCAGTGAGTTGACTGCGTCCTCCCATCCCCCATCAAGGCCCACCTTCCCTCCCTCCCCCTGCTTCGGTCTCGAAGCCCTTCCTGGCCCCTGCCCTCTGGCCCAGCTTTCTTCCTCAGCTCCCCAGCAGCCTTCAACCCGAGCTCCAGCGGCACCAAAAGGCTTGCCCTTCTAAGCAAATGCAACATCCTCCCTCACCGTGTCCCCCTGCCTAGAACGACCTTGCGCTCCCCGAGTCCCAGCTTAGACTTCAGCCCTTCTGTGAATCTGTCCCCACAGCTCTGTGTCCTCCCACGGCTCCAGGCTGCCGAAGCGCTGTAACTGGCTCTGTCTGGCTCTGCTCAAAGATGAGGGCTCTTTAAGGCAGGGCCGAGCCTTTGCTTTCTGCTGTGCAGCCTGGCCTGGAGCGGGCACTGATGTTGGCCAGCCGAGTGGATGAGGTGGGCCAAAGAGAAAACCCTGAAGGCCCGGGCTGGCCCAGACCCAGAGGATGGAATACAGAAGGGCCCAGGGAGCAGTCCCCACACTTTGGCCCTTCTCCAAACGCTTCCAGGCTGGAGGCAAACTGTGAAGGTCAGCGAGCCTCCCCAGAGTCAGCAGGCAGTGCCAGCCTCAGGCTATGCTCATTTGAGTAGCAGCCCGCAGGTTTGCAGATCTGCCCCTGGCTCCTCAAAGACGCACCTCCACCCCTGCCCAGGCTTCTCCCCGCCCCCGGGTGAGGCTCTGGGGCTTGCAGGCTCGGTGGCTCCAGAAGCGCCCCCTTTACCTCTCTGCCGCGCGAGGGCCCTCGGCCGTCACCCAACACCAGCTCCTTCCCGCGGGCCACCAGCTCCTTGAGGATCTGGTGCTCCTCCACGGCCGTCTGCAGGCGCCAGGGGAGGGAGGCCAGGCTGTCCCTGTGGGTGGTCACCTGCACCAGTGCGTAGGCCTTCCGCGGTCGCCTCACCACCTCGATGTGCTCCCGTGCCACCGGCAGCCCCAGCCGTTCCAGGGCGTCTCGCAGCAGGCAGGTGAGCACAGGCACTGAGAACTGGGGGTTCAGGTGGCCCACGTAGAGAATGTGCGTGCTGGGCGTCACCTGCAGGCCTGAGTCCTCAGGCAGGGACTCTTCCCTGGGGACCTCTTGCAGGGGCGGCGTGCCCGGGAGCTCCATGAGGGGCTGCTGCACCTGCATTTGCGGTGATCTCTTCCTGGCGGGGGGGGGTCCCTGGAGAGGTCTCCCTCAGAAGGGCTTCCGGGATTCCTTACTGCTGGCTGTTCTTCCCAGGGCCTCCCAGGGGACTCAGGGGGTGCAGAGGCTCCTGGGAGGTTCACAGATTGGCAGGGGCTGGGCAGAGCCAGAGGGAGGGAGGGAGGGCAGAGGGCCAGCCGGAAGGGGCCTGCCACCCACCCAAGCCCAAGGCCTAGGACAGGAAAGAAGGGAGTCAACCAGGGCTGAGGCAGACAGCAGAGCATGTGGGCCTGCCCCTCCCACTTCCTACAGGAGGAAGACACGAGGGGATGTGCAGGGGGGAGGGGACAGAACTCAGGTCTTTGAGGGCCCCCCACCAGACCCCTAAATGGTGCCCGGCGTCTGTCTTTCCTCTTCCAGTCCACAGGCTGGAGGCCTCCCAGGGTTTCACTGCCCCAGGGGTCCCATGCTGCCTCCAGGCCCCAGAGAGAGCTTGCACTGGGGACTCTGGAGGAGAAAGCTTTAACCTGGGGCTTGGAGGACCAGCACGCACGCGACAGCTTCTTGCCCGTCGTGGCCTGGAGCCCAGCAGGAGCTCTGAAACAGGGCTGGGCCAGAGGGTTTTTTAGCAGGGACTACTGATGAAAGCTTTGGCCCCTCCCCAGAAAAGCTTGACCTTCCAGTTTGACAAATCCTGACCCTTCTGAGAAACTCCTGATCTAAGACCGGAATCCTCTGTTGGGTCCAGAGACAAGAAGTGAGGGAGAGGCGCTGGCGCTGGCCCTAGGGCCATCGCTCCGAAGTCAGACCAGGCCTCATGCGGAGTTGTGCACAGAGCAGGATCCTAAGGAGCCCTCCACTCACCCCCACACACGACCTCCGACTGGGTGGCAGCTACCACCGCCTGCATCTTTTCAATTGGATCCTTGAGACAGTCAGGGCCTGGCGACCACTTGTGGGCTGGGTGGGCATCAGACAAACAGAGACAGGAGGAAAAAGGGAGGCCCTAGACCCTCACTGTCCTGAGGTTCCTGGTGGAGTGTGGGGGGTGCCCGCCCTCAGCTCCCACAGACTCCTGACCCCTGGCCAGCAGCTCCCTGGTTTGGGGGGAGGGATGGGGAGCTCCGTGGCAAAGCAGGGAGAACGGGGCTGCAGGAAGTGGTGCGGGCCTGCTGCCCACCTCTGTGATCTCACAGGAGTCAACAATGACTTCCTGGCCGGCCTCAGGCCCCCAGGTTGGGAAGTCAATCAGGAAAACTCCTCCCCCCCCCCCCCGCCCGTTCGACCCCCAAGGTAGTGAACACACACTATCACACACTATGGCTGGGCTGTGTGGCTCCGTCTGGGCAGCTCCCAGAGTCCAGGGGCTGAGAACGTACTTCCTCCTTCTGTAATGTCTCTCCTGTCCCTGCCCCAAACCGTGACCACGCAGGTCCTCCGGTGCCACGAGTCCGCATCTTCCCCTTCGTGACCAATCCCAGGCTCCACTGAGCACTGATGACCCAGCTACTCCCAAGACGGATCTGAGCACACGCCGCTGGGCCCAGGGCTGCCCCGGACCCCAGGCCCCCTGCTCCACGCCAGAGACGGAGGTTGCTGTCCGGCCGGAGCCCTGAAAAATAGGTCAAGATTTGCCACTTCTTTTCAAGGACAGGGTTGTCACCTACTGTTTGATGGGGGCCAAGACATGGGTGATACACAGCCTTTATTAAAAGCAGAAATCTGTTCTGCAGTGGGTGGGGGGGTTTGGTAAATGCTTTCATTATGCAGATGTAGGTAGCTCGTTCCCACGCGGCTTCTGGAAGTCCTGAGTTGGGGGGTGGTGAGTGTGGAGGCAGATGCTCCAGACTGGGGAGGCTGGGGGCAGCAGGGTGCTTCCCTTCTCTGAGCAGCCGTTCTGGAGATGCTAATGGAGTTTTGTTTCCCTCAGGGACACTGAGGCAGAGGCTTGGCTGGGGAAGCCCAGAGAGGAGACCGAGGCCGTCAGGCGCAGCGTGAGGCTCTGGAAGAGCCTGGCAGGTGCCCTCCCCGTGCCCACCCCGACATGACGGCTGTGAGCTCCCCATGCTCCCCCTCCTCTCTTTCAGGCCTGTCTAGACTCTGCCAACACGAGCTGCTCTCACGGCAACCACGCAGCAGGGGCTGTAGCTGCCGAAGAAGAAGGCTACGTGGGGTCGTGGCTGGCCAGGAGAGGTGCCCTGACGGACGGAACATGTGAACATGTGAACCAGAGGACGTGACTCACTTCTCCAGGGGCCTTGCTATCAGGCAGCCTTTTGCGTGAGGTTTTCCAGGCTGATCTGTGCCCAAGCTCTCCCCACTCTTACTGGGGGTCTCTTTAAACACCTGCATTACTAATTTCCCTGGGATCTTTAACCACCTTACGTGAAATGAACATCCGTTCCACTTCCTTTGGGGGGGGGGAGTAAAAACTGTCATTGTAAGCACTGAATACATTTACAAAGTGATGTCTTAAATACTGAAATGTGCTGCAATATCACTGGGTTACTTACAGCATCGGGCTTTCTAACAGTACTGATGGCACTTCGCAGGTGGCCCGGCCGGTGGCAGACACAGGTCCGGTGTTAGGGATAAGCAGCCCCTTGTAGTCCCCTCACTGGATGTCTGTGGCCTTATTGACAAACCCTACTTTGCACTAGAGGGAAAAAACTCTTGAATCTAAGATTAAGAATGTGAGGTGGACCCAAAGATGAGGGGGGAGAGGGAAGCTATGGATAAGGTTCTTCCCGTGTTATCCGGAGAGTGTCCACTTGGTGGCCCCACACGGCCACGATCCCCGAAACCACATCAACAACGGGTGTCTGCGCTGACTGCCCAGGGAGGCCAGCCAAGGAGCAGAGGGGCAGGGGCAGAGGCCAGAACTGAGCTCAGCCATCATGTGGGAGAGGACAGGATGTCCGGAGAGCAAACTCGGGAGCTCGGGGGAGAAGTGGTATGGACCCAGCCTTTGCCATCTGGGCCCCACGGCGGCGCTCCAGCCCATCTGGAACCTTCCCCCTGCGTGTGGGCATCTGCCTGCTGATTCCCGCCCACCTCTGGCGGGGTCCAGCCCCAGCTACCCACAGGTGTCTTGGGTCCTGTGTCTTTACCCTAGGACTTGTCAGCTGTGGGTCGCTGGAAGCACCTGCAGTGGCTTTGGTGTCGCAGGCCCGGCACAGATGCACAGTGTGTGACACGTGGCTGTCGTGGTCCCTGGTCTAGAGGTTTCCAGCTGTGGAGCTTCCTGATAGAATGAGGTGACTTAGGGCAAGGAGGCTGCCAAAAGCTGAGGGACGATGAGGGGAGGGGTGTCTGGGCTCTCCGAGGCAAGAATGTTCTCCAAGGTTTTAGCGTTAGTTGCAGGGAGGAGGGGGGAGTCACCTTACGGCTCTTCCTGAGCAGGGATCATGGCATCGGTGTGAGTGTAGAAACAGTGTCCACTCGGACGACCAGAGCCACACCCCAGAGATCTCAGGTTGTTTCACAAAGATGTCACCGAGGGATGCTGCGGAGGCTCCTGCTCAGGACTAACGGCCTGACAACGCGGAGGTGACAGGGACCGTGTGGCCAGCAGCAGGGAGGGGCCACAGGTGGGGAGGGGGCAGACAGTTCCTGAAACCATTCAGCCCTCAGTAGAGCCAGGACTCTTCCGTCCTCTCCTGAAGCACATGAACCTCCTGCTGCTCCTCAGCACCGGAGTCAATGCCCTCTCCTTGTGGTGGCGAGTGTGGCACGTGAAGCTGGTGCCGGGGGGCCTGTGACCCCCCCCCCCCAGTCCCAGATGTGTTCTCATTTTGTGGGCAGCTGGACTACTGGGGGTTCATGGAGTGGTCTCGCCTGCCCGGCAGGTGTTTGGGGATGCCAGAGGCCACTTCAGCTTCTCCGCAGGACTCTGGGTCACTATCAGAAGGCTTGGCTTTGGGGGGCACCAGGGTGGCTCAGTCGGTTAAAGCAGCTGACTTTGGCTCCGGTCATGATCTCACGGTTGGTGGGGTTGAGCCCCACATCTGCTGTCAGTGCAGAGCCTGCTTTGGATCCTTTGTCTCTTTCAGTCCCTCCCCTGCTCTCTCAAAAATAAATAATATTAAAAAAAAAAAAAAAAAGGCTTGGCTTTGGGAAACAACTTCAAAAGTCTTTTTTGCAGTCCTGACCCCAGAAGTTAGGGCAGTAGAGCGAAGGGGTAACCATCTTCTCACTTCCTACAGAATCTGACACACGGGTACCTTTCTAGTTCTGTTCCTCGGGAAGCCGGATGAAAGGGGAATGTCAGCTGTCTCAAGGCAATGTTGCTCATGGCAGGAACGGACTGTAAATTATCTGGACCAGCCACTTTGGGCCTCCTCAGTGCCGTGACTCAATGGGGCACGTCCCTTGTAGGGACCCGGAAGCGATGCCTGTGGAGTAGCTGTGCCGACGAACTGGGGAGTTCTTGCTCCCTCGGGGTGTGATGCTAAGCCAAGGTGAACCCCATGGCTCCCCGATGTGCCCCATCCTCTTGCCACCTGGGCTGTCACCTGGATGATGGCGGGCCTTGCCAGGACTACCCCACCGAGGAGGACTGCTTCATGCTGTCCTGCGGGCGGGTGATGGTGCCTGACAGCCTTCAAGGTGGGTCTTGACTCTGGTCAGCAGGATCCGAGACGGTGGCCCCAGGAGGGTGTGACAGGCACCCCTAATTAGCTGTGGAGTTTGGGCCAAGGAGCTCTCTCCAAGCTTCAGTTTCGCACTTGGAGATGGGAGGAACACGGTCGTTCTAGAGGGTTGTAGGGAGGTTGAAGTGAGATGCAGGACATAAACCACTCAGCCCAAGTGTGTCAGCACAAGCGTACGCTCTTGGAGACTGGGAGGCAAGTGGGGTGGACGCCGATTTGCTCCGTAAGGTGCAACCCCGCAGTGTGCCTGGCTTGTCTACATGTCCTGGCATTATCTTCAGTCCCCGTGTCTCGTGGGGAAGGGGCACACCGCTAAGTTCATTGTGGGGGTTCAGTGAGGCCCTCTTTGGCAGTGAATGAACAGCACAGCTTGCCACCCCGGTGCCCAGGAGCCTGTGGAGAACGGTCCTGTTCTGGTTCGGCAGCCCTGGCCGTGACGGCATCCCAGGGACCACGGTTAGAACCCACAGGAGCCAAGTGGAAGACAGGTTACAAGTCAGTCACCACGTCTGAACCAGCCATGGTGAGCGCTGGGAGGGCCCTCTGGTCTCATCTGAAACCCTCATACCACATGGGCCCAAAGAAGTGAAGTGACCCGCCCAAAGCGTCACAATAAAGAGACTGGCTAGAACCTCAGCCTTGGCCTCGGCGTCAGATTACTTGGCTTCAAACGATTGCTTTGGCGCTTCCTCGCCGTGAGCTAAGCGTGCGTTTCCTGATCTGTAAAATGGGTTTGCCGTGAAGATTTAACGAGACGATTCTAATTCCTGTGGAGTAGTTCCCGGGACCCTCGGTGACGTAAGAGTGGCAGCTATCGTGAGGTTTTCCTGCATGGCGCTGCTGCCCCCTCCTGTGACCCCCATAGAAACGGGGTCCCACGTCGGCACAACGGGTACCATGCCAGCTGGCTGGCCCGCACATCTCCTCGCCCCACGACGAGGAGGAGGAGGACGAACCCGGCCATGGAGGCTCTTGGAGCTGTTGACCCAAACACGGCTCTTCCCCCTGGGCTCCGCGTAGCTGCCGCGTTCCCTGCTGTCTAGCCACACCAGAGCGGAGCCCTCTGAGGGCAGAGAACGGACTCCACGCCGCCTTCCCAGTGGGCATCTGGCAGGCGGCCTGCTCTTCAGGGACTGCTGGGGTCGGGAGAACTCTTGGGGATCACCTTGTCTACATGCCTCACTTAAGGACGAGGGAGCCAGGACCAAGAACGGTGAGTGCTCCACCACTGGAGGTGCAGTGCGCCGCCGACTGATTAAAACCACACAGGCATCTATATTGGTTTTTATTTATAAACAAATTGACATAAAAGAAGTCCAGATGGCAGCGGGCGCAGCTGACCTGCTCACAAAGGAAGCATCTGGATAATGGAGAGGGGACAACCAGACTCCAGCCGGGAGACCCTTCCCTCCCATCTGCCTTACGGGCTTTGTGGCCTAAAATCCGGGGGCCTGACCTTCTTCGGCAGCAGTTCTGGCCAGGGCAGGGAGCTGTGTGGGGGCGGGTGTGGGCGGGGGACTCCCATCCCCACAGAGGAGGCCTGGGGCTGCAGAGCGCCCCTGGAGGCGGAGGGGAAGGTGGCAGACACTCTCTTCTCCCCAAGCTGAGGGGTACACGGTCAAGGCCTGAGGGATCTGTCCACCCCACAGAGCAAGCGCTCCAGGGTGATGTGGTCTGAGAAGAGCCCATGCCTCTCTGGGACCGGGGCAGGGCAGTCTCTCACCTCCTGAAACCCGGTGTCTGGAGCGGGAGGAGTATGAACCGGAGGGCTTGCCCGAATGCCAGAAACAATAAATTAACAGTAAGAAAAGATCTTTTTTTAAAAAAGGTAGAGGTCTGCACCATGAGTTTGGAGTCTGGAGCTCTTGTGAGGAGGTGGCGGGAGCTGTGGGGCAATGGGGTGCCACACCAGGCCCGGCAGGTGGCAGGGGAACTGGGCACGAGTGTCAATTCAGGGCCCCGTCTTCTGGGGCCTCAGAGGTCAGCCCCTTCCTCCATCACCCGGAAGGTGTTCAGTCTAAACGCCCGCTGAAAGGCCAGCGGGCTTGAGAAATAAATACAGAGGGGCCTCAGAGCCGAGGCAGGGCTGAGGGCAAGAGCAGCGCCAGCCCTGGGCCCCACACTCCCCCCTCCTCAGTCCTTCATGGAAGGACGTATCCTGGCAGGAGGGGGAGCAGTGGTGGCTCCACACAGCCTCCTGGAGTCCTGAGGCGGCCCTGAGCCCCACTGAGGCGCCCGGAGCAGACTGTTGGCCCTCCTTCCGGGGAGAAGAATGTCGACCCCTTCCGGAGGACCCCGCAGTTGTCTGGGCGGCGTCTCCCGGTTCAGAACTTGCCCTGCTTCAGCCGGTCAATGTGGAAGGAGAGCTTGAGCGCGGGCCCCAGCTTCAGCCCCATGTACTTCATCATCATGTCGCTGCGCAGCAGAAGCAGGGCCTTGCCATCGATCTCCTGGCGGGGGTGGGGGGAGGCACCATCAGAGGCCTGGTGGGTCTGACCACCCAGGTTCTGATGAAAGCCACCCAGGCACGCGGGGCCCAGTGAGCACGCTGTGCCGCTAAAGCCTACCTGTTCCCACAGCTTCTGCTGCCGGCCCCACATCTGCTACTGAGCCCAGCAGGTGCGCTCTTCACAGGAGCTCATGCTGGCTTCCCTTCCCTGCTGCCTGAGGTGTTTCCCCACCCTCGCAGCTGCTGACGGCCCGGCCCGGGTAGGTTCCATGTCTCCCAGTAAGCCTCCCCCATCCTGTGCTCGTCCCCTCTCCCAGACTGGTTTTATAAACTGGCCCTCAACTGTCACTCCGTGAGTCATCTTCCTTCCTGAGCAGCAGGGGCCCCTCTGTGTGAAACAGACCCAGAGCAGGCACTTGCTGAGCCACTGTGAGACCTTCAGGCCGGACCTAAGAGCACCCCCAGACCCAATGGCATGAAAGACTGGAATGATTGATGAAAGGGAGCACATCTGTTCTGAGCACCCAATGGGTAGAACAGCACCCAGCAGCAGGGGCTGCTGGGAAACGGGTTTGTGCCCAAATCAGGAGTATGGTCACCGCAGGCGAGTCAGGAGCGGTGCTTGGCTACACAGCCAAATGGTCACTTGAAGAGATGGTGGCGGTTCCCAGAGGAACAAGGACATGATGGGGGCTGATGAGGTTGGAGAGTAGGGACCAGGTGGCAGGGGACTCTAACCTGGGCTGAGGCCCCCGATTCTCAGGCCAAGGCAGGCAGATGGGAGAGCACACACGTCTAGGAAAAGAGGAGAGTCCTTTCCCCAGGCCTGAGCCCACAGGCCACGCACCCAGCAGGAACGTGGCTGAGTCAGACGTACACTGCAGGAGGGGGCTGAGCTCAGTGCCGGACAAGGGCGGCTGGAGACCTGAGATATCGTCTCTGTTTTCATGGTGTCTCCCGTGCTTAGTCTCGAGGGGCCTTTAAGAGTCTACAAATTGCCGAAGCAAGACTCCCAGTGGACACAGGAGAGGTCAGGCGGGGGCACCTACGTGTTTGCGAAAGAGGTCAGCGTGGGGTCCAAGCTGGGGATCAGCTTCCCGGACAAACTGCATCACGTCCTCTACTGTCCACGAGGAGGGGTCCCGGCCACTCAGTCGCGAGGCATCCCGGCTTTCCAGGTATCGGTCCGACCCTGCAGGACAGGAGGGCACCTGCCATAACGGGTGGGGACTGGTTTGTAACGCATCCCCACTCTCCTTGGCACGTCCCGATGGCCCTGTGGGTGAGGCTCACGTTAGTGCCAGAGCAGAGCAACTGGAGGTGGCTGAGGGAGGGAAGGGTTTTTCCACAAAGGGATGAGGATCCGAGACTCTTCTTAAGTCAAATCTTTGTTCTTTAAGAGTAGATCTGATTTTGGAAAGGGCCAGAAGAAATTTTACATTAAGGCTGTGGTTCAGCCTGGACCAAAGTCAGCGGGAACAATGAGTGAGGGGATTACTTGGGCTCGCTGGGGTTCTGGTGGGTAAGGCTGCTTTTACCTTGGCTCTGGGGACCATTTCTAGATAGACTTTGGCAGATGGGCAAGATTAGAGCCAAATCTAATTTGGGGTCTAGGGAGAAAAAAAGTGGTGGAAAATACTCTGTGCCTCTTCCAAGGCCTGGAGAATAGCTAACCTTGCTACAGCCTAATAGTGCACAGGCAGAAAATAGTCTTGCCTTGGCTGCTAGGAATCTCAGTTAATTTAGTGCACTGCTTAGAGCTTTTATCTCAACCTTGGCTCAAATACAGTTCCTCCCATTTCCCCTGTGGGATCTGGACTCTCCGAAATCTGAACTCCTTACCATGCATGGTCTAGAAAGTACTGCAGCATCTGGCCCTTTCTGCCTCTGACTGCATCTCAACCCCCTAACCCCACCCCTTCCTTGTCACGCTCCAGACACACTAGCTTGCTTTCTGCTTCTCGAATAGGCTATGCCTTTATCCTTTGACCTGTAATTTCCTCGGTCCGGAATGTGCTTTTCCCAGGACTTTGCATACCTGATTCCTTCTCAATATTTGGGTCTTCTCTCAAACATCAATTCCTCACAGACCTTCACCAACCTTCTAGCAAAAATATTCCATTCCCCACACAGCCACTATCAATCCAATTATCTCCTTTTCCCTCAGCACATATCACTACCTAAAATATTTTCATGTATTTATGTTTACTGTCTTCTCCTATTTTCTGCCCTATTTCTTTGTGATATTGTGACTTTTAATAAGAAAAACACACATATTTGGTCTTTGTCCTGTTCCCTGGCAAGAACTCCTAAAATTCTTGGAATTTCCTAAATGGTGAGAGAAAGAAAGGTGCCTTTTGTTATTCACAACAAGCCTTTTCTAGCCACACCTGAGCATGTTCCTGAGGTCACTTCTGGAAAGTCCCTAAAGGATGGGGGTTGCCTGCCAACCTCCCTGGGGAGGAGAGTGGCCAATGACTTAACTGATTGTGCCTCTGTAATCAAGGTTCTGTAAAAACCCCAAACAATGGGGTTCGGAGGGCAAGAACCCCTGGTTGGTGGACACATGGAGGTGTGGGATCTGTGTGTCTGGAGAGGGCATGGAAGCTGGTGCCCCCTCCCACATGCCTCGCCCTGGGCAGCTCTGCCATCCGGCTGTTCCTGAGTTGTCTCTGGTTACAGAAAGCTGGTAACCTAGTAAGTTTTCGTGAGTGAACCCAAGGAGGTGACTGTGGGAACCCTTGATTTAGTCGGCCAGTCAGAAGCACGGGTGACATCCCGGACCTTCGACTGGCCTCTGGTGGCGTGGGGCAGGGGGCTTGTGGGACCGAACCCTTAGCCGATGGGATCTGATGCTCTCTTCACACAGTGTCAGAGTTGAGTTAAATTGTAGGACACCCAGGTGGTGTGGCACAATTGTTTGGTGTGGGGAGAGCTGCACGTGTGGTGTCAGAGGGGAAGTCATGTTGAATGGAGTACTGGGCGTAAGGGAGACAGACACACAGGGGGGCGGTGGTTTCCTTTCACAGTCTCCAGGACATAAAAGAGGGCCTGGGCAGCCATAGTGGACGCTCAGACAGGTTTGTTAAATGAACGAATGACCCTACATAATAGTTACTTGTGTATTTTTCTGGCTCCCCCACCAGACTGTCTGTCTTGAGGCAGGGACCTTGCCTCGTTCACGTCTGTATCCTCACCACTCAGGAGATGCCTGTCACACAGCTGAGAGGCGAGCTGAAACCCACCTAGGAGGGCAGAAGGCTGTACTCGGCAACTGTCTCTTGCAAAGGCTAAAAATCTCCTCCATTTCCCTTCACTCTGGGTGGGTCCCAGGTCTAAAAGTCAAAGCACATTTGGCTTGGCCCAGCCCCTGCTCCCTGGGGAAGAGACTCCGGGGAGTTACATCTCCAGCTCGTAGCTGGGCACTGACCAGATGAGGGGAGAAGTGTGCCAGGGCAAGCAGGGTGACGATCGCCACAGAAATTCCGATGGCTTTTTAGAGGCGGTGGTAGACAGGAAGTTGGAGAGGGCTCTGAGTCAGCCACCTCTCCCTGCCCTGACAGTGCACTGTGACACTGACAGAGAGACCGGCTGCAGAGATTATGGACAACTGAGAGAAGATATACTCATGGACGTGTCCCTGGACCATCTCGGCCAATTCCTTGACCTAGGGGAGCTAAGAACCAAACACACACACAATGACATTATACACGTATAAACATAAATGCACGCACATATTCACACATCTGATGCTACTACGTATTTCTGAGTTTGTCTGGCAGCCTCCTCCTGTTCCAACACACCCCAGGAGGACAAGTGGCAGGAAGTTGCTAATTTATATGGTGGTTGGGAGAGACAGCTCTGAAATGATGACACCTGAGCACAGACCGTGAGGCAGAAGGGTGACTGGCATGTTTACGGTGAAGCCGGGAGGCCTGTGGGCCAGAGCTGAGCGAATGAGGAGAGAGTGGTAGGAGATAACCTCTGAGAGGTAGTGTGTGTGATGGGCTGGGGGGCATGGTGGTGCACATAACAGGACCTCGATGCCACCGAAAAAACCATTGGTTTTTCTTTTTTTTTTTTTTTTTTAATTTTTTTTTCAACGTTTATTTATTTTTGGGACAGAGAGAGACAGAGCATGAACGGGGGAGGGGCAGAGAGAGAGGGAGACACAGAATCGGAAACAGGCTCCAGGCTCCGAGCCATCAGCCCAGAGCCCGACGCGGGGCTCGAACTCACGGACCGCGAGATCGTGACCTGGCTGAAGTCGGACGCTTAACCGACTGCACCACCCAGGCGCCCCACCATTGGCTTTTCTGAGCGAAGTAGGTCGGTTTTGTGCAGAGGAGTGACTGGAACCAACTTACAGTGGAAAGGATCGCTCTCAGAGCCCGTGTGAATAGACTTGGGCTTCGGGGGAGGGCAGAAGGGAGACCAGTCCAAGCAAGAGACGACTGTGGCGTGCAGCAGGTGGTAGTGGTGGATGTCGGGAAGAGTGAACAGTAGGAAGAACCCCCACCACCTGCCACTGTCAGCTCATCTGACCCTTAAAACAGCCTTTGAGGGAAGCAGCAGCATCTGCTGTTCAGAGATGAGGGAGCTGAGGCCCGGAGAAGTGAAGTGACTTTCCCAAGACCACACAGCTAGGAAGAAGACAAGTCAGTGCCCTGGATCTGTCTTCTCCTATCCCCATTTCTGCACACAGACGACAGCGGGATTCTCTCCCACTGCCCGATGAGAGCTGGTGGTTACCCCTCAAGGAAGGCAGAGGGTCTCAGTCTGAGAATGACTAAGGCAGGTGAGGCACATCTAAGGCAGGTGGCCAGACTAGTAAACCAGTGCCTACTCATCCTCGATTAGTGAAATAAGAGGGGACAGACTCAACATGTGAATTCTTCGGGACAAACAGTTCTAGTGCCAAATGGAATCCTTCATAGCCGTATGAGGTTCTACGGGGTCACAAGAGATTTAGACCGTGACCTGGCCAACAGGCTCACACGCATTCCAAAGGAAGAGAGGATGTGCCCGGAGACAAGAGTGACATCTCAGGCCAGTGGCGCATGGGGCAGCCATCAAGCAGCACTCCCAACAGAGAGGGCCTCGGGAGGGAGGACGGTGACGGAATCCCTTCACACCTGGGGGGTGATTAAGCTTCCCAAGTGATCCCTTATCCCCGCTTCCATCTGATCCTTGTCACACTCCTGTGAAAAGACCAGGTCCCTATCACCATGTCCAGTGCACAAAAGAGGGGTGTGGAGACCTGAGAGGTGAGACGACTCCCCCAAGACTCAAGGCGGGAAATCAGCTGGCGGCTCTGCCTGGACTTTAGCGCTGCCCATGCCCCGCACCGCCTTGCTGGGTGACGACCTGGCTTCTTCCCCCCACTCGGTCTCCCTAAAACTCTCTCTCCTGAGGCCACTTCTCTCCACGGCAGGCCCTGTCAATGGAATCTTCTTATTGTTCCACAGGCCGGGGGCTGGGAGTGTGGAGGTGGCACTTTCCCGTCTCTCCATGGCCACTTTTAGGCCTTTCTCCTATGAAAGCTCATGTTCATCAGAGGCCAGATATGTGCCCAGCCACCTGCTCGTCCTGTTCACTGTCGCCTACAGACCTCTGGGCTTCTACCCCTTGTGAGATGGAGATTGCTCGGTATGTCGGTCACAGCCTCCTGCTCCAGCCGGTTCCTGTCCTCATCCTCAGAGGCACTCAGTCACCCACCTGGCCTCCAGTGACCTTCACCTCCACTCTGCTTCAAATACCTCCTGCCAAGGCCACTGCCTGCTTCCTGCCATCACTTGGAACAAATCCACTTCAGAAACGTAAACATCCCTTTCTCTGACCCCAACCTCCCATGTCTGTAACTGTCCTGGACTTCAGTCCACTAAACCCATTATGTCACAGAGACATTTAGCCCAGCAGACTCACAATTCCCCATCCTTCAGCCTTGTCCCAGCCTTGCTTCTTCTTCCCTACCTGGCCCGGTCCAGTGCTGATGGTCTAAACGGCTGTCCCTCCAGCTCCCCCACTCCCTGGCCCTCTTGCCCTTCTACCTCAACGTGAAACTTTCATCCACAGACAGTCTTTTCTCATTCCCACATCTAGGTTTCTAAGACCACAGAAGAAAACCACATCTCTGGCAAAATGGCAGACAAGTCTCCAAGCACAGCGGGGCCTTCAGTGTTTCCCGAAAGCCAGTCCCTTCTCCTTGCTCCATTTCTCCCTGTCTGCTCTTTTTTTTTTTTTTTAATTTTTTTTTTTTCAACGTTTATTTATTTTTGGGACAGAGAGAGACAGAGCATGAACGGGGGAGGGGCAGAGAGAGAGGGAGACACAGAATCGGAAACAGGCTCCAGGCTCTGAGCCGTCAGCCCAGAGCCTGACGCGGGGCTCGAACTCACAGACCGCGAGATCGTGACCTGGCTGAAGCCGGACGCTTAACCGACTGCGCCACCCAGGCGCCCCTCCCCCTGTCTGCTCTTGACCAGTCCAGTCTGGGAGCTGCCCTAAGCCCTTCTCTACTCGCCCTCTCCCCATTCACTCATGGCCACCATCAATCTTTCCTCCAGTCTCAAAGAACAAGGCTTAAGGCCAACCCATTTTTCTATGCCCTGGGTCCCTAACCCTTCCCACCGCACCACACCCACAGCCTTACTCTCTTCTCTTTCCTATATTCTTCATTTCTTCTTCTTGGAAGGCACAACTTGTCTGCTGATAAACACATCGGGGCGCTCCCACTCTTGAAGACCTTCTTTTGTAGGTCACCATTTTTCTTTTTCTTAAGCCCTCTTTAGTACCTCACCATGCTATCTGCCCTCATCGCCCTCCACAACCTCTGAGGCTGCTCTTGCTAAGGTCGTCAATTACCCACTAATCACCACCTCCGACAGATAGTTGCCAAATCTTTGTTGTGGTGCGCTCTCTTTGAAATGCTCTCTGTAATCCTGGCCACTGCAACATCAGATTTTGTTTTTCCTCGCATTTGACTACTTTTTTGTCATCTCCTGGGATCTTCTTCCTGCTCCCACCTCCTGAACTTTGTTGGTCCCCAGGACTCCACCTTTGGTCAACTGTTCTTTTCATTCTACCCATACACTCCTGGGAAGTGGCTGGCATTCATCCTACAGCTTCAACTACCATCTGTATGCCGATGACTCCCAAACATTTATCTTCAGTTCAGTTGTCTTCCCTGAGAATCAGACCTGCAGAGCCACTGCCTGGTGGAGGTCACCTAGATGACCTGTGGGCTCCCTCCCTGTCTTTCTACGGCTGGTCCCCTCTCTCACTGAATGGCACCCTGCCACCCCATCTAGAAACCAAGGAGACATTCCTCCTCCCTTCTTTCTCACTATCCTCAAATCTGACTGTATCTCCCTCGTGAATAGTTTTTTAACCCATTTGCTCTTCTATAAACTATCTACCACTTTTCTAATCCAGGCCTTTATCTGTTCTGGTTTGGCCCACTCCCCAACCTCCTAAGTGGCCTCTCTAGTCTGTCCTTCCTCAAATGTGTCCTCAACACAGTAGTACGTGATCTGTTGAAAACCCAAGACTCTTTAGGTCTCGCCGCTAATTAAAAGCCTTCGGCAGCTTCACACTGCCTGCAGGATCCGCTCCAGACTCCATCATGCTCCACAGCTTTGGGTCCTCTGTGAAGCAGCCCCCTGACCTTTCCAGGCTTTTCTGTTTCAAGTCCCAGTATCACACTTTATGTTCAGCGATACTGAAGTGCATGCAGTTCCATGTGCACCATCTGTACCAGTTCTTACCCCTCTGTCCTTGTTCCGCTATGCTCTCTTCCTGGAAAGCTCTCCCTCCCCTACTACTCCTGATCTCACCGCTCACAGCTTTGAAGTCTCGGACAGGGTGGTGTCACCTTCTCAAGGAAGCTTCCCCTAGGAGCGCCTGGGTGGCTCAGTCGGTTAAGTGTCCGACTTCGGCTCAGGTCATGATCTCATGGTTTGTGAGTTTGAGCCCCACGTCGGGCTCTGTGCTGACAGCTCAGAGCGTGGAGCCTGCTTCGGATTCTGTATCTCCCTCTCTCTCCCTGCCCCTTCCCTGCTCATGCTGTCTCTCTCTCTCTCTCAAAAATAAATAAACGTTAAAAAAAAAAAAAAATTCAAGGAAGCTTCCCCTGGATACCGAGCTTGGGTTAGGTGTTCTTCTTTCCTGCAGTTTTCATACTATCCAAAGCACATCTCTGTACTCAAGATATGTCTTACAACTGTGTTGAAGTGTTTGTCTCTCCCTTAAGACTGTGAACACTCTGAGGACCAGAAGTGATTGACTTTTGCATCCCCATGCTGAACACAGATGGTCTTCGAATGAATGGCTAATAAATGAATGGGTGTACCTTTCCCTGTCCCTTTGGCTCGAGTCTTTGGCTCTTAGTTTCCACTGTTGTCAAGCCAATCCCAGAGCTCCAGATGCCTCCCTGGTGCCTAGCTAGACACAAATGGTAAGTCTGGACCCCGTCCAACTGCCAGGCAGGGGGCAGCCAGCGCTCAGTGAGGAAGGAAGGGAAGAGCGAGGGCCAGAACTGCAGTCAGCTTACCCCTGGAGCACAGCCTGCGCACAGCCGAGGCAGGACTCAGTGGGAGGCCACAAGATGGAAGCAGAGGCCGGTACCCGTGGGTTCGAAGGTTTTGGGAGCTGCTGACAAGGTTGGTGGGAGTCAAGGCGGAGTCCATGGAGTCTGAGTGTGGTTCCAAGGACCGGGTCAGACTATTCCCCAGGACAAAGCTTTCACCTGGAAAACGGTAAAACCAGAGTTAGAGCAGGAACTAGTCTAGAAGGACTGCCGGGGCGCTGGCCTCCCAGATACCTGTTTGGATGGAGCAAGAGGCAGCAAGACAGAAGGTTCTAGGCTATCTCAGGAGGCCTGTGTACTAGGCATGGCTCTGGCTCTCACTAGGTGACCTTAGTCAAGCCCAGTGCCATTCTCCGGACTTGTATCTCCTTAGGGACTCTTCCTTTTAGATTAGACAGTCTTTGAAGTTTCTTGTGGTCTGGATGTCTTAAGCTTTTTCTGGATAAGGAGAACCTTAAAACAAATAGAACTATTTTAGGAAGAGGCTGCCTCCCTACACACGAGATGCTAGTGCAGGGGACAGGGGTGCTGGAGAAGAGGTATGGTTACTTAGATGAGGACACTTTAAAAGGTGACCTCCCTCAGCCAGCAAGACATCTCAGAAACGCTCCTCAGTGCCCAACTAACAGCCTGTCTATGAAGGGTCTGCTCCTTGGTTCCCTCCCTCCTTTCGTACTTGCCTTGTGGAACAGAACTACCCCAAGGAAGCTGGGCTTATGTGGCGGTGAGAATAGGGCCGTGGAGACCAGAATCTGGATTAGAACTTGGCTCTGGCACTGGGTAGACAAGGTGCTTCTCTCAGAACCGCACTCTCCTCATTTAGAACATGGGAAGCCCCCTTCCTCTGAGGCCCAGCCCCTCAGCTGGGCAGCAGCCCCTAATGAGTGCACTCCAGAACCTGAAGCAGACTCCCTCTCGTGACTGGGCTCTGCCCACACTCAGTCAGTTCCTCAGCCCTGCTCACATCATCTCTGCCTAAAGGAGGAGTGCTGGGTCCTGGGCCACCCCCCGCCCCCATCCTTTGTAGCTTTTCTTAGAGGTCGGCTGTTCAGGTAACGTTTGGGATTCACTCAGACCTGTGATCAACACTACAGTCAAACACACGGTCTGGCACACGATAAGACTTCTATGGCAAGATGGGTTAGGATTTTAGGACTACTTTCTACTACCTGAACGTGCGGGGTAACCGGGGGCTTAGAGTCAAATCCAGCTATTTGCCCTTAATCTCGGGAGTGTGACTGACAAAGCCCTACCCCGGCAATGGTCCCGGAGAGAGAAGTCTCTGGGGACCTGGACCGCAGCCCACCCCTTTAGGCAGACGAGCCTTCAGATTCCTATCTTCCAGGAGAGGGGACCACAGCAGTGTCCCACTTTTGAGACAAGCACAGGACTCCAAGCCAGCAAACAGGAGGCCCGGGTTCTACACCTGGGCTCCTGCCCTTCTCCAGGTATTTGACCCCGTGCAAGCTGTCTGTCCTCTCAGCGCCAGCTTCATCTGTAAAAGGGGGGGGGGGGGGAATCCCTCTCTCTCATGCTGAGAACATCAAATGAGAAAATGGAATGAGATGGACTTTACCAAGGTGGGGAGTTATTTTATTTATCCTTCACTCAGAGTTACGGCAAGCCTACATTCTCTGCAGTAACTCGGGAAAAGGATGAAATCTAGTTTCTGCATGCACCTTTCGAGCCCTCATTACCTGGCGAAAACCGCGGACAGCACAACTTGCCTCACCCGAACTAGCGTGTGAAGCGTCAGCAGGACAGTATGGGGGGCTCACCAGCTGCTGATGCAAGTCAGCGTCTCTTCCTCTCAGCGACACTGCGAATGGCAGTGGAGGCCTGGAGTCTGAGTTGAGGGGCCTGAACACCGGGACAGGGGCAACGGCACCAGGCCAGGTCATTAAAGCTCTCCTAAAGAGAGGCAGTGGACAGATGAGGAATCATGCCTGGGAGGGCCCTGGGAGAGCCTCGTCTACTTAAGGCTGATCAGACGAGGGCCTGGCTGCCTCAGCAAGACAGTGCAGCAAAGAAGACTGCAGTGCTCTCAAACTGTGCTCCACAGATCCCCGAGGGCCTCCAGAGGGAGGCCAAGTGAGTAGGCCTCTGGGTCTTACCCCAGGTTCTAGCAAAACAGCTCTGGTTTTAACTTTTATACCCCAGAGTTTTCATATAATCCTGCCTTTGCAAAAAGGAGTTCTACTGCTAAAAGGAACTTTGCAACCATTGGCCCAGGGTCAGAAGTTAGGGCTGCAAGACTTGAGTTCTATTTCTGGCATTACCACTGGTCACTGATCTCTGCCTTTTTCTTGGGATTCAGTTTGCCCATCTACAAAAAGACGCTAAGGAGCACCTGGGTGGCTCAATCGGTTAAGTGTCTGACTTTGGCTCAGGTCATGATCTTGCAGTTCACGAGTTTAAGTCCCACGTCGGGCTCTGTGCTGACAGCTCAGTGCCTGGAGACTGCTTCAGACTCTGTGTCTCCCTCTCTCCCTGCCCCTCCCCTGCTTGTACTTTGTCTCTCTCTCTCTCAAAATAAATAAAACATTAAGAAAAATTTTTTAAAAAGACAATCTCATATGGTCAATTTAAATGAAATTTGCTGTGCATGTGTTAGAGACATAAGAACAGTCAGCATGGGAAGGAGCTCATTCCTTCATTCAGCAAACATCTGTTGAGCATCCTTTGAGTACTAGCTCCTGTGCTAGGGAGGGGGTATGCAGAGGTAAACAGACAGATAAAGGCCTTTCATTATGCACTGATTTCCAGTCAGAAGCAGATTTTTTTGGAGTCTCACCTTGTAAGGCTACCCTAAAAACAAGAGTTCCTAGGGGAGGATGGCAAGAATGGTGGGGGGAGGTCTAGAAATCATGCAAAGGAGAAAGAGCCCACGAATGCATGATCTGGAGAAAAGTCAGGGGTGACAAATAACCTGAGGACAGTCATGGGAAGGGAAGAGAACTGGAGGCAGATTGGATCTTCTGAAAGGCAGCCAGTAAAACAGGGGGCAGGAGTTATAAGAAGACAGATTTGGGCTCAAAAGTGAAGGCACTGTAGCAATCAGAAATGCCCAGCAATAAAATCGGTTGCCAAAGGTGATGGTGAGCAACCTGTCATTGGGAGCACTTAAGCAGAAGTCAGATGACCACCCGATCTGTTGGGCTAGACACTAGATCATCTCTAGACCACTTTCCATTTCTGGGATTCAAGGAATCTGTGCTCACAACTGTGCTTTCCCCTTCCTGGGGTGAAACAAATGAAAGAAACTAGAATTTTCTAAGAATTTCTAGAATTTTCTAGGAAAATTCTTATGCCAACACAAGACCCAGAGACTACTACAGTTCCTGTGTATGCTTAAGTCTGCCTCATGAAAAAAAAGTCCTCTGAACTACGTGTCCTACACCCTCTATTACACTTTAATTCAGCAAATATTATCAGATATTTGCTACGTGACAGGGAGACGGATACTGTGAACGATGAAAAAGACAGATATTGTCCCTTCCCTCAAGGAATAATTAATCTAGTGGGAAGGATGACAAAATACAAGCTTATAAAAAATTAGAAACTATTGTAAATATTACTAAGCAAATAGGGTATTAAGACAGAAAATAACAAGGGGGGCTTTTTTAGATGAGGAGACCTTGAGAGGTCTCCTTGACAAGATGATGTTTAACATTTATTTATTTTTGAGACAGAGAGAGACAGAGCATGAACGGGGGAGGGTCAGAGAGAGAGAGGGAGACACAGAATCTGAAACAGGCTCCAGGCTCTGAGCAGTCAGCACAGAGCCCGACGCAGGGCTCAAACTCACATACCGCGAGATCGTGACCTGAGCCGAAGTCGGACGCTTAACCGACTGAGCCACCCAGGCGCCCCGACAAGATGATGTTTAAACAGCTGTGGTCTGAAGAGTCCAAGTAGAGGTATGCTAAACAATGTGCTTGGTTTTAGGGTTCGCTGGCAGCCCCGATGAATCCCAAGCATTATCTAAACATTTGATCTCCAAGAAAAATTGCAAAACTGCAAAGGATAGGAACATGACCCAGGATGCCCCTCACCCGCAGAGAATTCTGTGGAAAGGGCCAAGGAGCTGACGTGGCTTAGGTAGAACTTAATCATCTGCTGTAGGTCTCCTGGTACAATGGCTAAGGGCTGCTGCCTGGTAACTTATAGAAAGACCTTGAGTAGAAAAACAGCTTGGAATATTTGGGGAAATGAGGAAAAACAGTGTAGCTAAAATATATGGAAGGAAGAGATGAATCTGGCACGGTAGGCAAGAACCAGATGATGCAGAATACTGTAAACCAGAGTAGGACACCTGGATTTTACTGTCAGTGTATTAGAATGCCACTACAGAGTTTTAGGTTAGGGCATGCCATAAGCTCCTTTATGCCTGAAGAATACCCTTTGGGCTATTAGGTAGAAAATGGAGCAGAGAGGAACGAGAGAGGAGACCAGATAGGCCAGAAAGGACCTCTCAGGCCAAGAGAGAGAGGATAATGGCAAAGGCAGTAGACTGATAAGATGTACCTGGCTTTAGGATACATTTTGGATTTCCACTAAGGCAGAGTAGCAGGGTCTAGGCATATCTGATTTCTTGGAACTGAAAACAAAAAGACAAAATACATGAAATAACCATTTTCAGACACTGGGCATCAGGTAGTGCAGGACAGTGATTCCTGAAAAGGGGTAACAAAAAAGGTGAGCCCGGGGCGCCTGGGTGGCGCAGTTGGTTAAGCGTCCGACTTCAGCCAGGTCACGATCTTGCGGTCCGTGAGTTCGAGCCCCGCGTCGGGCTCTGGGCTGATGGCTCAGAGCCTGGAGCCTGTTTCCGATTCTGTGTCTCCCTCTCTCTCTGCCCCTCGCCCGTTCATGCTCTGTCTCTCTCTGTCCCAAAAATAAATAAACGTTGCAAAAAAAAAAAAAAAATTAAAAAAAAAAAAAAAGGTGAGCCCTAGGCTTGCTCTCAGCTCACTGTCTAGAGTGTTTCCAGGCCACAGTGGAGGCAGGGGAAGATTAGACAGAGCCGGTGAGCTCCCTGAGCTGAGGAGATGGGGCTGAGTCCAGATAGGCCAAGGCAGCTATAGTTCATGGGTCAGAGCTCTGGAGAGGTGATTACAACTAGATTTCAAATGCTCAGGAAGACAGAGCAAAGACTATGT